TACGTACACACACACACACACACACACACACATATATATATATACATATACATATATATATATATATATATATATATATTTTAAATATAATAATAATGTGAGTTAGACGAGAACGAACACTATTGGTATTACAGTTGTACGGTAATGAATATTATTGTTGTTGGACTACGTCTGATATTTCCTCAAGGATTAGATTAATTTTTCGTAGATGCCAAAAATTATTTTCTGGTACGTGCAGTCTGGTGAAGCGACGTTCTCCATACTGTCCATATTATTGGATAAAATATTTTTGGGCGAGATAGCTTTTTGCAAACCGCTGCTATTACTTGCTATTTCACGTCGTATCACCAGTACGAGACTACGAGATGAGTAGTAATATTCAATAGTTGTTTGGTTGTTCGAACAGAAATTATTATTCGTCTCTCTCTAGTGTACTCATATATGACAGCAAGTTTGCTGCTAAATTCAAATGAACATATTACATTGCTAGATTGCTAGACAGACCATAACATGAGCCATTGATGTGTCAAACTCAAAAAACCAACAAGCTAATATCATATATACGACGTTTTCCAACGGACGTGGAGAAACGAGTCTTATTGTGCCAGGGGCAGTGTCGTTCAACAGTTGTGCCCTAATAAGAGTATGCATTTATCAATCGAAGCGGAACTGATTAAATAGTTGAAAGGCCAACGGAAAGAGCAACATTGCTTACCCAACAGACCGACATTGACTAAGCACGTAATTTGAGAGCACCAGTCATTTTTCTGTTGCAAAGGAGGGATGCGCTATAAAGTTGATGCGGTGTTGTCGCTTCCAACACCGTGGGACGATTGCCAAGAGTCGAGATGGAAAGTCAAGATAGTCACAAAAGGGAGATTAGATAAAGTGCCTACCACAGCAACACGCAAAGTTCAAGGACGAGAGTGATTACATTACTGATTTGACAGGGCATTTTGGATATTTATGTAAATACATACAAGAGCAGTTCTTGTGTTCTTTCTTTTTAGAACAAAAAACAAAAACAAAAACAAAAACAAATTGTACCCCAAGGGCCCAGACTCCAGAGGCCCAGACTCATAGAGATACAAAATGGAGGTATTTACATTTATCTGTACACTACTATAATTAATGGTAAAAATCTGAAATCATACATAGCTGTTTTTTTTTACATTTAAAAACCATAGCCTTCTAAAAAAAACAACACTAAAAACACAAATTTAAGAATTTAAAGTGGCCTACAATCTACAGCGAGAGAAAATAGTAAATAGCTCTGTTTACTCTCTCTTCTCTCTCTGACTCTACCAGCTAGAGAGAGTCTCTACTACTAGAGAGAGTAGAGTCTCCCTCTCTACAAGTTGGGCCTATGTACTACTCTACTAGGCTACATACGCTAGAGTACAGTCCCTAGTCTCTACTGCTACTACTGCTAATAGAGTCCCTACATACTGACTACTGGGTCCTACTCTAGGGAGAGAGACTATATCTAGAGAGGCGGCCCCTCTCTCTACTAGAGCTCTATACTCTATAGATAATTAAAAATGTAAATAGTAAATACAGTACATATGATCATTACGTTTCCCGTTAAACTCAATATATATAAATAAGCGTTTACGTTCAAAGTTTACTTAAAATATTGTCCTATGGGTTTACAAATAGGTACATTTCTAGAGAGGCCTAACTGTCACGAATTGTCCTATTTTTCATTTTGTGTCAGTTGTGAATAGTTTCAAATCGCCTTTTCATTTAGAAAACAAAGTCAATTTCTCAGGTGCATGGTCGATTTCATGATTTGCCTCGATATACTTTTTAAAACGCTTAAAAAACAAAGTTTATCGAATATAAGGAAACCTTCTAAATTTAAAAACTATTTACTCTTTTGTTTAAAAATAGACAAATTGAAAAATATTGATAGGCAAATTGCGATTTTGGGTTTAAAAAATAGCAGAACAAATAAGCATTCATATCTGTATTTTATGTTTTTAAATTTTTAGACTAAAAATAAATTTCTTGTCCTGAGTCTGACTCTGGCTGACTCCATCTTGAGATGTATTTGACTGCCAATTTGCCATCTGACTCCCCGCCGGCGCAGGCTCTGGCGTTTTATAATTTTTTTTTAAATCCATACTTACAGACATAGTCCTCTAAATTCAAATTGAACATAAATAAAATTCCACTTCCCACCAGAGTAAATAGTTTTTATTATTTTTTATTATGTAATAGTTAATACATCTCTTTTGACAAAATCGGAAATCCCAAGCTGGAGAGATACCCGTAACAAAAAAAAGCAACCTAAACTCCTAGCTGCGCCATGGGCGTCTGAGGCCTGGGGCCCTGGGCTGTGCCGTTGTGGCTTGGGCTCTGGACAAACTCAAAATGCCTCTGATGCCTGATGGCTCGTGCCTTCACAAAATTAAATACCATTGCCGTTTCTCTTGCGGTTGCTTCAGCAGGGCCAGGCATGTAAATAGCTGTGACTCATCTGTCTCATTTTATAAAAAAATAATATCGTTATCCAGGAACATGAATACTGAACTCTTATTGGATGAATAACACTCCTAATTAATGATGACATTGTCTTTACTTTGTATTCGTTCATTGTATATCTTTCTGGGTTCAAGTGTCAGGCATACATCGATAGTCGGGACACAGGATCTGGAATTCTCCCTCTTTTAAACTTGTGGGTGTATAACTGTTGAGCTGTATATCATTACCTACATATCGGGTTCTGAACTTTTAGACTCCCGAGGTCCATTTTGGTTCCGAATAAAACTCTTGTCAGAATCACGAGAAATGTATTGGGTTGAAAAAGTCGAACGCACATTTGAATTATAAATATATATATAGATCTGTTTGTTGATTATCCTATTCAAAATTCGCATTCAATGCACCATCATGGTTTCAGTCAAATTGTCCTCGCAAGAGTTGAGTGGTCAAGGCGATAAAACGACGCCGCAGCCAGTTTCCTACCAAGAAAAGACAAGCCCAGAGCAAGCACAACCAGAGCAAAAGTGGTATCAAAGCACGTTGATTCGTGTGTGTTCGTTCATTCTTATCGTAGAGGCATGTGAGCGCCTCTGTTACTACACTTTTTCTGGGTCGCAGAAAGCTTTCCTGCAACAGGCGGGATACAGCAACTTTCAAAGTAGTTCAATCAATGCGGTCTTTTCCATGCTGTCGTATGTGACGACCATCCTGGGAGGATTTGTTGCCGACTCGTATCTTGGACGCTATAAGACAATTGTATTGTTTTCTTTTATCTACGTGGTGGGCGTGTGTGTTACCGTAGTTACATCTATACCTTCCATCATGAATGTACAGTTGTATCTGGTAGGTACCTTAATGTTAGTGTCTCTTGGGACTGGCGGCATCAAGGCCAATATCAACAACTTTGGTGCAGATCAGTACGATCTGCGAATCCCTGGCGAGCAGGCTGAACAGGAGAGATTCTTCTCGTATTTCTACATGGTTATCAACATTGGTGCAGCCGTTGCTTATGGATATCTCGTTACACTTGCAAGCTCTGGTCACCCGCCGGGCATCCCGAAAGAGTACGGTTTTATGTCGGCATATTCGATTGCCGCTTGCTGCATGATAATCGCAGTGGCTGTGTTCCTACTCGGAACCCCCAGATACACGAAGAAGTTGGTGGAGGGTAATAGTCTGGGAGGGTTAGCTTACTACATTTGGGCGTGTGCGTTCAAGTCAGGTCAGCGTTCGCTCAAGGGATTTTTGTCATTCGTAGGATGGATATGCTTATGGTTGTCAATTATTATGGCGCTTGTCCAAGCCTTCATCACGTACGAATGGCTTGGTTTCCTCACACTCGGTATCGGCGCTATTGCCGTAATTTTACTCGCGGGTTGCCATTTTCGAAATGATCACCTTGACGGATGCGAAGATCAGACCTTCCTCACCGTTAAAGATGCCAAGATGTTTCTCGACACTGTTCCCATTATCATGGTGGGGAATATGGCGTTTCAATGCGCATATAACACCATGATGAATGTGCTTATGTCTCAGGTAAGCTATTCATCAGAACCCATTTTCAACTTTCGTACAACCCCTTGAATGGTTATGGTCAATTTCATAACTGGGTTGTGTCACGATTTCTCATCTAAATACAATATCTTTCCCACTCCCCCACCCCATTCCCTCTTCTCACTATTTCAATACACCCTTCCACACACACAGGCTTGCCAGATGGATTTAAGAGTTGGGGGTGGACAGATCAACGGCGCTTTCTTCAACATCGCCGACTGTTTCGCGATCATTATATTCACGCCAGTTCTTGAGAAGGGGTTGTATCCCCTGTTGGAAATGGTACAACACAAGCCAGTTTCTCGTACACAAAAGCTCGTGGGTGGCCTTGTAATCACCGTCGCCGCTATGGCTATTGCAGCTGTTTTGGAAATCACCCGTCGCTCTGCCGATGTTCTTGAGGGTGTCTCCTCCGACTGTGCACCTCTCACCGAAGAAGGCTTAGGAGTCTATATGAGTAATCAAGCCGCTTGGTGGATTTTCATACCCTTCGGTCTTATTGGTATTGCTGAAATAATGGTTAATCCGGTCTTGTATTTCTTCACATACACTCAAACTCCGTTCAATACGCGTTCATTGGCAATGGCCTTTGTACTGATGGTACAAGGATCGTTGTCCAATGTATTCTCGTCTGCTTTCTCTACGGCGTTGCAGAGGTATTACACAGATGACCTTAACGACGGGCACCTTGAGTATTTCTACTACCTTGCCGGTAGCATGGCGGTGGTCGGTATTCCTGCTTATATCTTGACTGATCGGCAATTTATTGAGAAAAAGTTCGATGGTCGTGGAGATGACCGTCTAGCAAATGCCAATGACGGCGAAAGTATAGTTGAACTTTGTGGCCACATCAGCGCTGAGGATAAGGTCGTTCTTGTATAAGAGGGCAAAGAGTAGATTTAGAATTGTGCAACATATCGGCAAATAAGTACCGTGGTGTATTGTATACAGGGCAATTATTATTAATAAACAGAAGATAACATTGTTTACATGTGTGCACAATACGTCCTTAATGAAGATCTCATTCCCTTTTGCAACTAGTGTTTTCTATGGCTGTTTGAAGATATTGAAGTATCTCACTATGAAGTACTACAAGGTATTTGTGTGCTTGAAGGGATGAAGCATCACATGTTCCTATTAAACAATCATACACAATACGAGGCTGAGTATTTGATGGAATCCGAGACAAGTTGAAGCTGATTACATTATACAGGTATATGCGAGCTATCTTACACGCTGTGCGACAAATGGACTCGAACACAGCGAAACTATCACGAGGCAAACCCAAAGCGAGTGGACTATTTGTCCCTCGAGTGGTGCCTCCAACACCAGAGTTGTACAGATGAGACCCCGAGTCAGCTCGACGGGTGAACTCGAAGAGTATGAGGAGGACGCTGGTGTTGGGAACGGTAGTCTTGGGCGATTGGCTGCTTGCTTCATCGATACTATGTGACGTCAAGGCATATATCCACAAGGAGAGAGAGATATACGCTATGTGAATCTAGACCAGAAAAGTAGTTGCCATGGTTATTCACAGTATCACTTCCACCGGCAAATTCAATTCCGATAGAGCGGATGGGTAACGGGAGTATGCAGAGCAAATCAGGGATGCTGAGTGTAAGACCTGAGGTTTCGGGCAGGACAGCTATATCCGGATTCTGGTCGGTCCTCGCAGTTTTGGTGAGGCATGAGTGACAGTTCTTAATTTATCTTTTTTTTTTGGGGGCTATTTCCGCCAGTGAATCAAAACTATGAATATTATCTAGGTTATGCACGTAAAACCAAATCATATGACCAGCCACTACTTGTCCTGCCCCAACAGCACATGCACGGAATGATGCAAAGTCTAGGTTGAATTGTCGATCCGAATCTACAAACATAGGCTATCCAAGGACAGGATGTAACAATATGAGAATACCACACATACTTTTGAACACACAAACCTTTATCTTATACATTTAATGTGCTCTATCTATGAGATTTGCATATATTTAGTGATATTATTGATACTTTTGAACTCAAAGACGCTAATCTTATACATTCAATGTGATCACTCTATGGGATTCACATACATTTTATCGCTATTTTTGGAACTCATAGATTTTATCTCATACTTTTAATGAGATATATTAAGAGATTTGCATACATTTAGTAACATTATTGCTGCTTTTGTCACAGACCTTATTCTTATAGATTTAATGTGAACTCTCATATTATAGCTACTTTTAAACTCATAGACCATTAATTTTATACATTTAATGAGATCTATCTAAGAGACTTGCATTACCTTTAGCAACATTATTCTGCTTTTGTCACAGACCTTAATCTTATACATATAATGCGAACCCTTTCTGGGATTTACATACATATTATCGGTACTTTTGGAACTCATAGACCTTTAATGTTAGACATTCAATGATATCTATCTATGAGATTTGTATACATTTAGTAACATGATTGCTACTTTTGGAACTCACAGACTTTTATCTTATACATTGAATGTAATCTGTGTAAGAGATTTGCATACATTTAGTGATATTATTGGGGGGCGCGGACACTTGTGAGCACAGGTGATAGCCACTTTTCAAGGCCCTCTTTCTCTGATTTGTATATGGCAAGTTTGGCGATAGTCGTGTTCATGAGACCGTCCTGAAGGGTTTGTGCCTGTTTTTGGGTCTGAATCTGTAGGAGAAAAATGTGACAATAGTTAACAAAGGTATGACTATTATAGTATACTTATGTACATTCTGATATTGGGATCGAAGTGCGTGCTGTGCGGGAGCTGTACAGTAAAAAAAGGATTAGTTGGTGGACAGGCATGGACCGGTCCATACAGAGGTGTGAGGAGAGGGTGTTGAGGACAAAGTCAATGATATATAAGCAGGCAATATTACTTGTCTCTTACCAAATCAGTTCGCATAGAAACACGGATATATGGAGTCATGTATTGTACAGTCGGATACTAGTAAGCAGATATGGTCCTAATGTAGAGCAAGTTAATACCATGGTATAAGGGGATATGGCCCTGATTTAGACTAATAGGACACCATGGTGTAAGGAGATATGACCCTTATGTGGACTAATAGGACAACATGGTGTAAGGAGATATGACCCTAATGTAGACTAATAGGACACCATGGTGTAAGGAGATATAACCCTAATGTGGACTAATAGGACACCATGGTGTAAGGAGATATGACCCTAATGTAGATTAATAGGACACCATGGTGTAAGCAGTTATGACCCTAATGTAGACTAATAAGACACCATGGTGTAAGGAGATATGACCCTAATGTAGACT